GACCCCGATCTGCAGACTCACATCTCCTCACTCCCACTGTCAAATCCAAGCACCGAACCTTGGGGGACCGAGCTTTCGCCATCTCTGCTCCCACTCTCTGGAACTCTCTCCCCCCTCATCTCAGAAACTCGGACTGACTAACTCCTGCTTTTAGATTTTTAGTTTTGTGTGTCTGTCTAAACAGTCTGTCTGAATTGTGAAGCGTCTTTGAGTTTTAAAAAAAGCGCTATATAAAACCGATGTATTATTATTATAACGGTAAACAACTATTCCATCAATAACAAATTAATCATTATTTGTAATTCAGTGTATGTTCCCTGACTTTTTGTCCCACGTTTGGTGTTTACCGCGGTGGCTTCACATGTGGCTGGTGGTGGCCCAGGCACTTAGCAACTCTGCTCTAATTATGAGTGTTCTTCACACGCCTCAAAAGCATGAGGGCAGCACATTCAGAGTCTACTGTACTTTGTCATGGCCGTCCATCAGAGCACAAAGCCTGTCTGCACTGACCCCGCAGTCAAGAGTATTGTGAAACGCTAAATATAAAAAACAAATACTGTATTTGAGAAGATTCATGAGGACAATTAAACTTATTGTATCTTTTCTGTACAGTCCATTCTAAGATCCCATGTATTGTAAACAAAAAAGCCTTTAGTGAATTCAACCGGGTAAAATGTCAAGCCTTGGCTAAGGATTAATAGAATAATCAAGTGTGATCAGTACATATTTATATAGAATAGTTTTCAAGTTAAAATTAATTGTAAGTCCTGTAAAACAAGAAAGGAAAGATTAAAATCATAAAAAGCATGAATTAAATAATAACCTTAGTTTGAAAAGTGTCTCCCATCGTTATGTCCTAAAGACACGGGTTGCCTTCCTCTAAAATTCTATTTCAGTTCGAGGGCAGATGACAATACAACTGTTTGTGAAAGAAACACATTTTGTATTTACTGTAGAAATAGAAAAGGTCCAAATACTTTCTCAGATCATTATTTAATCCTTTCTACTGACCAACACCATGCATATGTTTTCACCACTTCTATAAACCTTTAAAAAAGATAATTAGACCATAGTTTGTATGTCCTGACTGAGGATACATCCACTTTATGACAGTTTTTTGTTTTCTGTGGATTGGACAAGTAATTATCTGACTTTTGACAGTTATCAGGACAGATGTTTCCCTCTCCCTCTATAGTCACTTGTTGTGATGTCACATAAACACAACCTGTTGGCGCCTGGTTTAAACCTTTGAAGTGAACCCAGAGAGTCATTAAGTAGAGCTGCAACCAGCGATTATTTTGTAATCGATTAATCTATCGATTATTTTTACGATTAATCGAGTAATCGCTTGGCTGTGAATTGTGTAGAAAAAAATTATTTTTTCATCACAAAAAGCTAAAGTGGCAACACTCGAGGACGTATTGATGGTGTAAACTTAAAGTAAATGTTTGTAACAGGCTCTTTGTGCTAATTCTGCTCTGATTGGATGAGACAGACAGATATTCATGAAATTATAAAAACAAAGTCGGTTTTAATCAAAAATACTACATTTTCATGTCATTTTTGCTCTGTTTGAGTCCGTGTGAACCAGAAAACGATTAATCGATTACTAAAATAGTTGTCGACTATTTCAATAATCGATTAGTCGTCGATTAATCGATTAGTTGTTTCAGCCCTATCATTAAGATTAAGATAGAGAGAGAATTTGTCCCACAGTGGGGATATTTCAGTGTTGCAGTTACAGAACAGTATAGGAAGGAGGAGCACACAAGACAAATGAACAATAACTCTATACTAAATAAAATAGAATAAAAATCTCTAACTGTAGCATAAAAAGAAGCAGTATACAATCTCTATCTTTAGCATAATGGGTACAAAAACTCTGACTTTAGCATAATAAAGTAGTAATAAATCTCTACCTTTGGCATAATAAGAGGCAAGTATAAAGTACTGTGAGACAGGCCTCCTCTCTGACAATGTTTAAAACCAGGTTAAAGACAGTTCTGTTTAGCTGTGCATACAACTGAGGGATTTTATATTTTTATCTTTCTTTTTAATGTTCTGTGATTATTTATGATTTTAATGCTTTCTTGTTTTGTTCAGCACTTTGAGTTGCCTTGTGTATGAATTGTGCTATATAAATAAACTTGCCTTGCCTGTGTATTCTAGTGCAAGAAATATGCAGTTGTCTGTATACATTTGTACATGTTATAGCAGCAGACGAGTAAGTAAAGTAAAGTGACAGTAACACACGTGGGTCTATATTATGCAATACAACTGAATGAGTGCAAATGAAATGGTTGTGTGATGTCCATATGAGGTCCTCTTGGTGTGGTCCTGCCCTCATGGACTGTCTATAAAAGCATTGATGACATGTGGGGCCTGCAGAGAGACTGGTCACGTGACGCCCCCTCTGCGCTGGGAGGCAGCAGCAGCAGCAGCAGCAGATGCACTTTAAAGACACACGGAGCTGGAGAGACACGGAGCCTCACGGGGAACAAGGGCAGGTAAGGCCGAACAAGAACCTCCGCGGTGCAGGGGCTAAAAAAGCGGCTTAAATTACCCCGTGAATTCACATTAAAACATCTGGATTCAAGACAAAAGCGATGCGTGGTCATTGAGGAAACCCCGGTGGAAAGCCAGCGGCGCTTAGCAAACAAACCGGAAGTTCCTCTGTGCGCGTGGCGGTGTAAACAACTTTATTCCATGTCATCGGCGCACATTACAGCAGAGAGGGAAAGTAAATAAGAGCAGGTCTATTATTTAAGATAATAGATAATAAAGTTAAAATGATAAGTAATACGATTTTAAAATAGAATAAAATTGAATTCTGGAGCTATAATTGCACTTGGTTCGGAGGTATTTACAGATGTGTATATTGTACTTTAGCAGCAGAGAATATGACCAGAATAAACAGTAATAATAGCAGCAGGTAAAGTGAATGACAGAAATATCAGATTAATTCATACCTAATAATGCAGTAGTAGTAGTAGTAATAATAGTTAATTAAAAACTGCATGTCTTGTTTGGCTCTGAAATTGTTTACTTTTTTTTAACTTGATTGTTACTTTTTCTAACAAACTAAGAAAAAGTGCACTGTAAAATAGGCTCCAGTAGACATGCCTTACTAACGACATTTATTTTCTCGTTGATAAATTCAACGTTTTTTGTTACCATATTTACTTTTGTTAATGTATAATTGTTTTGTTCTATTAGTAGTAATAAAGTAGTATTAGTTGTAATTTGAAGAAATGTTTGCCTTATTGTATTATCTACTTTAACTTGTTTGCTCCGAGATTCAAAGCAAGTTCCTAGTTTGTGACTTCTTGTTACTCACATAGCTAAAACATAATTCTGATTCTAATCATGGATCTTTAATATTATATTCTAAATAATAAATACACACTTATCGCCCTGGGTTTTATTTTGAAATTAAGCGGAAGTGGTGCCAGATGACAGCGCGCTAACCTGTCTCTCGATGCTGAACGTGTTGTTTTTCTTAGATTTTTAGTTTTTTATGCTCATTGTTTTTTTGTTTTTTATCATTTCAAAGTGCTGGTATATTTACCTTATTTACATTTTAAGTGCCATGTTATGTAATTTCTCAATGGTAAAAACGGTAGACGGGCGCGTTTGCATGGTTTCGGTAAAAACAGCTGATTCTGGATAAAGCAAGATTTCTCACAGTTATTATGATACATCCATGACTCACACTGGTACACATCGCTCATACTTTGAAAAGAACTGGGCCTTGTACTTGTAGGTTTGTACACGTGTTATATAGCCATGTTTTTTCACCAATGTTCTTGCAGTGATAAGATAAGACTTTTTTTTGTCCCACAAGGGGGGAAATTCCAGTTTTACAATGCACAGGACAGAGCATTGAGAATAGAAAGTGTAATCACAATGTTATCCGCTGTGCAAAAAAACAACATTGAAATTGGAAATAGACTATTGTGTATATGATAAAACATTAGGCTTAAGTATAAACATTGTTACTGGTTATAGCTGTAGCCAGAGCAGAGTTAGTAAAGCATTATTAGTAGTTAATCCCATAATAAATGTGTAACGTATCACTGTGCTGGATCACAATTCACCTTTCTATCTAAAAACAGAAAACCTGTGTGACAACTTCTGTCTCGTCACGCAGACCTACCCAGAGAGGCCCATGTGTTATCAGATAAAAGATAACATGCTATTTTAACAGGTCTTGGGGGGGTCCCTTCACAAACACATGAAGGCAATTATTCCAGATCATGTTTTGTTTCATTATTTTCAACGTAAACGCTCTATTTTGCCACATTTTGTTTCCTTTCAGAACAGGTTATATATCATTATTGTTGCTTCTAAAAGAGTCGTTTTTCCTAAATACGGTTTATTCACACAAACCCATTAACAGATGTTTACAATTCTAGTGATACAGGACAATGATAGGTTTGTTTGAAGTGTATTACAGTTTCATTACATGTGAAGTATATGGGAACCAGTGAAAATGCATTGAAATAAATAATCTGTTTGGATATTCAACTCAATTATATATATTATTTTTTTACCCTAAATCACAGCAGTAGTCATCCTGGAGGACTTGACACAACCGTGGAATTCGCCAACAACAGATCAGAGAATCAAACACCAGAAATAGACCAGAAACACATTTATATTGGTCCATGGACAGAGTTAAGAATGATGAATACACTTGCCATGGCTAATAACAATTCAAAGTGATATGTTTTGAATAGGAGAAAGGCTTACATGAGTGATACACATGGTTCCCTACAAAAGACATGAACATATACATTCAATTAAAGTCAATAAAGTCCCATGCCAAAATAAACAGAGCCGTTTTAATCTGGATTAATTTAGCATACTACCCTTATCTAAGCCTTACTACTGTGTACAAACCTCACTTCTACTGCTTCACAACTGCTTCCAGGTCGCTCCAGCGGTGTGTCTTGACGTGGTGAGGGGGGGTTGCTTCTTAACCCCATGACCAGAGCACCATGACCAGCACCATGGACAGCTGCGAAGAGGCCAAAGCTCTGAACGGCAGCGCGACCCAGGCCCCCGCAAAGGAGAGCATGCAGCTGAAGAAGGAAATCTCCCTCCTCAATGGAATCAGCCTCATCGTGGGCAACATGATCGGCTCGGGCATCTTCGTCTCGCCCAAAGGGGTCCTGATTTACAGCGCCTCCTACGGACTGTCCCTGGTCATATGGGCCATCGGAGGAATCTTCTCAGTGTTTGGGGCGCTGTGTTACGCCGAACTGGGCACCACCATCACCAAGTCCGGGGCCTCCTATGCATACATTCTCGAGTCGTTTGGCGGTTTTATAGCTTTCATCAGATTGTGGACGTCGTTGTTGATCATCGAGCCCACCAGCCAAGCGGTCATAGCCATAACGTTTGCAAACTACCTGGTACAGCCGCTCTTCCCCACGTGCGAGCCCCCCTATGTGGCCTCCAGGCTGATTGCCGCAGCTTGTATATGTGAGTATTTTAAAGGCGCTGTTGTGTTAGTCAGGTAAATATTGTTGAAACTGGTTTATGCTAATCCAGAGGTCGGGAACCTGTGGCTCTTTTGATGATTGAGTCTGGCTCTGAGACAAATCTTGGTCGGCATTAGTAGTAAGAATGTTTTATGTATTAGATGATACTAAATAAATACATTCTGAGATGATTATTACGCTTCTAATGTGTTGATCTTGTTTTTTTAGAAAATCACACATGTTTGCAGTGATACGGTGATAGTGTATGGCTCTCTCAGGAATATGTTTTAAAGTTTAAGACTTGTTTGGCTCTCGGTTAAAAAAGGTTCCTGATCTCTGCTGAACTAAAAGCAGTGCATCTGGTTTGTTCAACGTAACGGCTATGTCCATATCAAATGAATACAATATTAAAATGCGGTTCAGGTTAATATAGTTTTAATTTCAAGACAGAGAGACAAACAAAAGCAAGGACAAAGGGGACAAAGACAAAAAAACAAACAGACAATACAAAAGATTTTTAACATTCACACAAAAACTAAAAAAGTCTAACAATCAGAATTTCTTTCCAAAGTAAAGGCATCAACAATTGTATCCTGCCTTTTTGGTTTTCTGAACTGAGCATTCTTCGAAATTGTGATAGTGTTCAGGTTATTATAGTTTCAGTCAGAAATGTAGACACAGTATCAAATATTCATTGTCACTAACATTGTCACAGAAGTTTCTGTTGTGACTCGAAACACAGTTAGCTCAATGAAACATAGAACTTCAATCATACAAACACAGAGCCAGGTCAAACATGAAATTTTCCGACTCATCCTATCATTGCATCCAAATCCATCCATTTAAATCTTGGAAACTTTTCAAAACTACAAAACAACCATGTCTGGTTGTTTGAATCGTTTTGACATGCCTGTGTTTTTGGCCTCTGTCACATCTGAGATCAGCGTTTTCAGGCAGAAAAGGGATAAGGAGAGCCAATCAGAGTTCAGCACAAACTGATAACATGTAGGCAAGAATCCCCGCTCCAACCAGACCAGGATAGAACTACTCTGATGTCAACCCCTAGTTTCAGTCATCTCTATTGTTTATCAAAGGACAATTGGGGAGTTGAAAAAAAATATATAATTTGAAACATCTTTTGATCCACATTTTGCTTCACTTAAAATTTGCCACTAGTTTGCACAACAGAATATGTATGTTATTATGGAACACTGGCTATAGTTGCACACTTCTGTTTTTTGCACAATCTTTATTGAGTCCAGTGTGAGCTCAATAAAGTCTATCTTATCTTATCGTATCTTAAAATCTCATATTTGATTGCTTAGAACTAGATTACATACAGTGGAATAGGACACAGAATGGGAACTGTGCTGGGTATAATGGAATGGCTTTTGTCTTCCTCTTTAATGCCGAGACCTTCTCTCCCCTCAGGCTTGCTCACGTTTATAAACGCGGCCTACGTAAAATGGGGAACCAGAGTCCAGGATATTTTCACTTATGCTAAAGTGGCTGCACTTATCGTCATCATAGTCACTGGAATAGTTAAGCTGTGTCAAGGTAAGACTGTTAAAATCATCTCTATGTCAGTCCAAAACGCTTACATGATGTCGGCTTCTGTTTGCTGTAGGCTACACAAGGAATCTAGAGTCGTCTTTCGAAGGCTCGTCCACGGACCCAGGACACATCGCACTGGCACTTTATTCTGCACTTTTCTCCTACTCTGGCTGGGACACACTCAACTTTGTCACAGAAGAGATTAAAAACCCAGAAAGGTATTGTTTTAAGCTTATGTAAGTCGTCTAAAAACACAAAACAACAACATTAGTTTTCTTGTTATCTCGACAGAAGATACAGCTGATCTAAATCTGCCGGATTCTTTTCTATCTGTGATGTATTTGCACTTCAGTCGAGAGGTTTTGATTTACTGGACGTGTCAAAGTGGAATATTTTAGTGTACCTTTAAGACGCAGGAGTGGAACCATAAAAAAACCCCAAATTTTTCATATTGAATACATTTAGGAGCCACCATGTTTTTGTGAAGGGTCAACCTCTTCTTCATAAAATGTCACTTTACAGAGGATGTTTCACTGTAAATAAATAAATAAATACAGGATGGAAGATGAATGCCATACTGTGGATCACTCTCAGACTAAATGAGATCTCCGGGGAAAAGGTGGTCCCTCTAGTCTTGCAGATACAGATTTTCACAGTGGGTGAAAAGTGTAGGAATTACTCCCAGTATCAGCAAAGAGCAAGTTGGAACATATCTGTTGAAGAATGTGCTGTTTGAGCTGATGGAAAGTTTCTCAAATGGTACTCTTTAAACTCATATCTGTTCCTCATGTCTTCTTGAAGAAATCTACCTCTGGCCATCGCCATCTCGATGCCCATCGTGACCACCATTTATATCCTCACAAACATTGCCTACTATGCAGTCTTGGACATCAGTGCAATCCTGGCCAGTGATGCGGTGGCAGTGGTGAGTAAGCGGACACTGTCTGAGAGACGTGTCACAAAGACCTTCTGGGGCAACAGATTTGTATCTGCACTTCTATTTTCAGAACGGGTTTGTTAAGTTTGTCTCAGGAGTCAGGACAGAAGAGATCCTTGTAGCTGGTGTAAAGGTTGTCCTAAAGCAGCCTGTGGCACTATGAAGAGAACGTCCTTTAGTGAGAACAGAACATCTTTGTCGACGGTCAAGATGGTTAGGATTAGAATCAATGTAAGCACAGAGTTGGGGAAGTTACTTTGGAAAATGACAAAGCTACACTTTACTTGTAATTAAAGAACACTACTGAGACAAGAAAATAATAATAATGAAATAATAATGCATCAGTTTTATACACTCAAAGACGCTTCACATGTCATTATTCTTTCACTCCATACACAGTGGTGATAAACTACTACTGTAGCCACAGCTGCCCTGGGGCACACTGACAGAAGCGAGGCAACCAGTCTGTGTAATCGGGCTGTTAATGACGCCAGAGCAACAATAGACACTTGTTCACCTGAGAGTGGGGGTTTGTTTGCATGAGGACAAATGTTAGTAAATCAATATTGAGTTAGTAACCTTTAATCTCGCTAAAGACACTGAACATTGTGAAGCGCTTTGGGCGACCTTGGTCTGTAAAATGCGCTATATAACTAAACATTACTTACTTACTAAAGCCTTTGAGGAAGTCAGTCTTTGCTGCTGGTTACGATGAAAATATGAGAAACATAATATTAATAATAACATCTCTAGAACTAAATGTAATTGTGTATTTTCCAGGTAAAACTAGACTCAAGTGTGTTGTATTTTCAGCAGTAGATGTGCATTAACACTGTTCTATTTAAAAAGATATGGTCAGTTTCTATAAGGACAGAATGCCACACAGATACAGAGAATTGTCAGTGGACACTTTGAGAGACGTATACTGTAATCTCACAAAACTACAGTATTCATACAAATCATTCAAACTTCATCTTGTTGACATCCCTGTTTCTCCTGTGGTCATTTTAGACTTTTGCTGACCACACGCTGGGGGTCATGAGCTGGATCATCCCCATAGCTGTGGCGCTGTCGTGTTACGGAGGCCTGAACGCTTCCATCATCGCCGCCTCCAGGTACTGAGGCCGTGGGGAACTCTGGTTTTACACATTAGACATATCATGGATTTGTTATGGGGCATTTGGTAACTATATTCAGATAAGGCAATAATGCAAGAATTTGAATTGCACATGCATATTTGAAAGATTATTCCTGCATGTTTCAGTCATTTCTTTAGTTTTGGTAGTAAACAATGCACTTGATAATAAAACATTGGCATCGGCTTCATCACAATTGTCCAGAGGCGGCAAAATTACTCGTATGAACTGTATCTCTAGAAAAGGTTTCAGGCTCATGGTGCAAACAAGTTATGAATAATAGAATTCTTAAAAACTACTATTATGGTATGGTTAGGTTTTTATTTTTACAGGGACAGTGTACAATAAGCATAATAATTTACACCTGTAGTCCCTGAGCAGGATGATGTAAAACAGTATAATAAAAGTAGATGGATACATTACCATAAAATATCAGAAAGAAATTACAAATGATTTCACCAAGTGTTATAATAAAACCCCCAAGCCCCAAGCCCCGGTGATCCAAGATGACGCCCTATTCAAATGAACGGCTTGTGCTCAGGGGACTTCACAGAGATCGGGAGATTAGCAGAACACGCCTATATTTGGCTATCGTCTGGTCCTCCCGGTTCTGTGCAGTGGACGAGCTCCCATGATGCTTTGCGCCAAATATGCGTGCGTGTCTGTCATGCACGTGCACAGAGGGGCTCGGCCGCGCTCTGACCAATCAGAGCTGCTGATCAGAGCGGAGTCAGAGCGGGAAGGAAAGGAAAGGAGCAGAGTTTGTGGCAGTAAAATGTGGATTTAAAGAAAACCGAAGGATTTAAGAAGAAAAAAAGTTCAGGATGACAAGGGACACTAAAATCCCAATAAATAAAAAACGAAGGCTGTAGGTTCTCTGTCAAGTTCTCTGACAGCTGAGGTGGAGCTGTTTTAGTTTACATTGAGTTCTATGGGACTCAATGGTAGCCCGCACGCAAATTTAGTCTACAGTACCACAGCGCCCCCTGTGCCCATGGGTGGGACAGCTAGTAATACCCTATCCAGTTAATATTATAGATGCATGCCCAGCCCCATTCTTCACTTTCTCTCATACATACACTACAAATAACAAGTGCTCAGTAAGTTCACATATTAGGCATTTACCAGAACAGGAGCATAGTCATTCAAAGCATAGTCTAAAGCTAGTTTCAAAGGTGAGGAGTAAAATGTGTGCTGTGTCCAGGTTGTTCTTCGTGGGCTCTCGTGAAGGACATCTGCCCGACGCCTTGTCCATGATCCACATACAACGGTTCACTCCAATCCCAGCTCTCATCTTTAATGTATGTACGACGTCAAATGTAACCCTCTCGGCGCCACGGTTGACTTAAGTTGACAAAATGCCGTACTGTTTCAAACGTGTCAAGCAGGATGTTAAAATTCATTCTACTACATTTGGCTATTTCCCTGACCCTTGAGTGTGGTACAACGTGAGTCTGTTTGTGTGTTTATGTCCTAGTGATTTGTGTCCGTTAGCAACAAAAATAAAAATAAAATGAAATTCCACGATTGCCACCACTGTATGAAGTCATAATATGCAAAATAGATGCGTACATTAAATTCCTACATAAACTTTAGGCCATCCTTAAAGTTTCTCTAATTCACAGAAAGCCTCTATCTCTTATCACTTTTAAGTTATTTAGAAATTAGGGTGATAAAATGTGAGCCTCTTATGAAAAAACCTCTGGCGCCTAAAGGGTTAACCACTGCTCTTTAAACTAACCATCAACACGTTTATGACAGATGTTTTGCTGTTTCAGAGCTTGAATAAGAAAATCATTACATTGTAGCACAGCCATCGTTTGCAGAAATTCGACCGCAGTGATTACCAATAGGTTGCGTTCTGAAACATATTTCCTGGTAACCATAGTAACGGTCAACCGCCGCCAGATTCTAGTCTTTAGTTTACTGCTAATTTCTCTGTTTTTGTTTGTTTTGACCTCGGAATTTCCACGTCTTGTCATTATTTGTACATGTCGACTTTGGTCTAATTGTTTTCTCATAAACGTGGTGACAATACTCAAAAAAACTGATATTGGCAAGTATCAAGGACTTTAGGAGATAAGAATAATATGGATAATCGCTGTTAAAAAATGACCTTGGATTCATTTGGATATTTTCTCTTAAAAACTTGTCTTTCTAAAATGAGTTGTATTGGCACTTCTGACTACCCTCTGACTGGAAGAGAGACCACTTATGCTAATTTCTGAATGGATAAAGGGAAGGTGCATCCCTCCATATATAGATAATCTCCATTAACGTCAACTGATTTGGTAGTATAAGTATTAGTATGAATACGTTTTAGCCTCAAGTGACTTCAATACACTTTTTGTTGGTGAAATGCAAGATTTTTTTTTTCTGGTCTAAAGTAATGAGCTAATTAATTGAAATGCATATGACCAAAAGGACAGTGATCGTTCTTTCAGAGAGAGTACAGCCAGAGATAATGCTGCAGTGTTATTATTGTGACTGATAGAGTTGTTCTTCAGTGCGTCATGGCCCTGGTCTACCTCACTGTGGAGGACGTCTTCCAGCTCATCAACTACTACAGCTTCAGTTACTGGTTCTTCATGGGTCTGTCTATCGCGGGACAGATCTACCTCCGCAGGAAAGAGCCCGACCGGCCCAGGCCTCTCAAGGTGCCAAAACTATACTCTCTTTAGTGAGAAACGATACACTTTTTATAATGCTGCTCCCCTGTCATTTTATTGTTTACATTTTATTACTTCTATAAATCTATTAATGTCTGATTGCAAACTCACTGCCCTAATCTGCTCAAGCTGTACTGGTTTTATCCTTTTCTTCTCTGCTATTGAAAGTTATAATAATAATAATAATCATAATTATGCATGATATTTGATCTGCTGAATGTGCTCCTCTCTGTTGGTCATTTAAAACAAACGATATACTGTACATTTAGTTTAATATAAAATGCCATTAACAATAAATGTCTACTTAATCCTTTTAAAATGTAGCTTTACAGAGTCTACTCTCATGGTCTGGGATTTTAATAGTTCCTTAAGTGGACAATATAAAAGGTAAAAAAGATAATAAAGATACAGTGATTTTATCCAGACACATTATTTTAAATAGTCAAGTGATCATGTGTTTTCAATAGTAATGGAATCGACCAGATGTCTATAGTCTCCAAAAATGTATAAAAAATATTTTGGAGCAGACCGATAAAAATAAACCAATGGGATTCGTTCATCCCCAACGAACCAATGGGATGTGTTTATCGCCTTCACCCTCTTCCTGTTTCTCGAGAGTGTGCGCACCTGAGTTATCGAATTTTCTAAAACCTAAAATGACTGAACAGAAAATGCCAATTTCACGTTTTCCTCCCACTCTCCCTGTTGTGACAAAGAAAAGAAAATGCTGGATGCTTGGTTTGGTGGAGAGGTGAGGGGAGGGGGGGAGTGGTTTCGAGTTGGTGCTACGGCTAAGTTAACAACATCACGTACTGCACCTTTAAGTAAAGACTTTGTCAGGACGAGCTAAACCGCCCCATCTAGTGGTAGAAAAGAGAAATTACATACTGATTCAACATATGAAGGACAATTCTGAACAGGGCGGATGGTGGGATGGTTCCTGAGTGAGCTAAACCAAATGATGAAGGAGCAGTGTTGTTATGTGGTTAAACACACAAAGAAGACTTTACTTTTCAGAAAATGGGCCGATGATGATTCTTGTTATTTGATTCTTGTGTTGTGTGACAGCTGACCCTGTTTTACCCGGTGGTGTTCTGCATGTGCTCGCTGTTCCTGGTGGCGGTGCCTCTGTACAGCGACACTCTGAACTCTCTGATCGGCATCGCCATCGCGCTGTCAGGAGTGCCTGTCTACTTCCTCGGAGTCTATCTCCCAGAGACCAAGAGGCCGCCTGTCATCACCAAGCTGCTGCGTCAGTATTACACACACACACAGACAAGGCACTCATGCGCACACACACACACACACACAGACGCTGCATTCTGTACTGATGGATAGATTTATTTCAGACTCGTAGTCCAGAACAGAAAATAGACAAGATCAAAACACACATGGATTGACGGATTGATCATTTTGTCGTTTTGTTTTACCTCAAACTCAACCACTCCTTTTTTACAAACACGTAAGTAACATACGGTAGGTAGTTCCATCCATCCATCCATTTTCTTCCGCTTCATCCGATGCCGGGTTGTGGGGGCAGCAGTCTAAGCAGAGACGCCCAGACTTCCCTATCCACACACACTTCCTCCAGCGATTCCTGGGTCTTCCCCGGTAGGTTGGTGGTTAATGAAATCACTCTGATGCTAAATCTTTTTCTTCTAACAAATGGCACCTGAAAACTACCGCCCAGATCCAAAAGTAAAACCAGGATGTAAGATGAAAGCTTGAAATCTCTTGTGAACGTGCAGCAATGCCATTTCCTGCTAATAGACTGTGATTTCCCAGTTAAACATCAATAAGGCTGTACTGTTTACTCTCTCCATGTCTTTGCCCCACAGGTTCACTGACCCACTTCACGCAGTACACCTGTCTGTGTGTTCTGACAGAGATGGACAAGAGCGACTAGCCCCAGACACAGAACCAAGCTCTGGGCAAAACTTAAGACTCCTTTCCAATGTTAACTTATTTCACGGATCCCTAATTAAGCCGAAGAATGTCGAGTTGTTGTGTTTACGGCAACACAGAGATCACTTCAGCTTTCACACTGGAATTCTAATCGCTCTCTTGGGGAATTTGACAGCTGGATTTTCTACACTTGGTTCATACTAATTAGCACTCAAACAAATCACTTAATGTATTTATATTTTTGATTATTTGAATGGACTCTTTTATAATGATTTTATAATATTTTATTTTGAGTGTGTGAGAGAAGAATATTGTGTTGCTTGATTTTCCAGTTGCAATATCCAAGGTTTACAGCCGTGACATGTTTTGCACAATTCTTCTCCATTGGGCTAGTTTTAATGTTTCAATGAGAAATTACCATTAAAAAAGAAACGTATAATTTTAGAATAAAGGATATCCATTGGTTGTATTTAATTTGGCCGTGCAATATTTAACTGATTATAAAGTCAGTGATTTATAATTTATTTTGTGCTTATTTCAGATGGCAATATTAAACTACGGTAGCCACATCTGACCTGGGGCAGAGAGTAATTTGTGCATAGCTGTACTGAATACCCAAGTTGTGCTCACAAGATTAAGGGATTCTTTTATTCGTCCGAGTGGGTTAATGTCAGTGTTGCATCAGCTGTCACAGAACAGCAGGAATGAGTAGCACACAGCACAAGATAATTACTCTAAAAAATATCAAATCATGGTCCCTGAAAAAGGAGCACTGCATATATATTATAATTTATTAAATGTTATACCTTAGAAGTGCTGATTTTTATAATGCCTTACTCTATTCTTTGTTGAACTGAGCCAAAGCTATTTCCTAGTCTGACTTCCTGTTACTTACGTGGCAATAAAAATGATAGAGTAAAAGGTACAAACTTTCCTTGCCTCAGATTAGAGAAAGGGGCAAAATGTGTCGCATCCATAAAACAAGAACCTACATGCCCTTAAAATAAGCTTATAAGTGCAAGACTTCAATTGTCCATTATAGAGTCAGAACTAATTCATAAGGCATTTTTAAAACTTAATAATGTAGAGGACGATCAAGACTTCTGAACCGCTTTTCTAAATGATACATGATGAATGAACAGCACACATACCTGCAGTAAAACCCATTCAGTTTTATTTTGAAAGCTGTTTATACACATGTACATATATACAAAACAGTTTAAATCAACAAGCGTCCAAAGAAACGATCCATACCATAAAGCAAACGTACATTTTCACATTATGCAAGATCTAGCGCGCACACACAACACGTTTACACTCTACCATGCACGGACAATGCAAACAGGCTAAATTGCAACCACACGCGGGGCCAATACATCTCACCAAGTCAAGTTTGGACATCACAAAACATACAAAGAAATTCACGCAACTGTGCAACATTTTTGTAACGCATACTTCAAAACACGCATACCAAAACTCACTCGATGTAAAAAAGGTTTCAGGCACCTCCCACAACATCTATATACGATTCAGAGGAAGGACTTATGCCAAAAAAGAAAAACACATGCTTTTGAGTGACTACATCAAGCCAATAGTAGCAGAACTAGCAGATAATGGAGCCAAATGGAATGACTTATTACTCATTTTTAAGTTGGATTGCTGGTCCTCCCTCTTATAGATGTTTTTGAAGTTTAAAAATCATAACGGTTTTTAGTCTGAAGAGTATTTGTCTGCCTCGTCTTCGTCATCGTCCTCTTCGCGACAACGGCCGAGTTCGTGCAGCACTTCTCTCTGGTACTGCTCCCAGTTCCTCCGGCTGTAAGAGTGCTCCTCCTCCCAGTATCCTGGAAGTACAGCTGAAACGATTAATCTAATTACTCGAATATTAAAAATATTCGTTTAATTTCCGCTGCCTCGATTATTCGTATACTGTAGTTTATTTGCGGCATTTTGCCTTGTTTGCTCCATAGACTTTTCTCACGTTTCGCACGGATTATTATTGTGTTGCGCAACATGTTTATGTCACGTGTCCTGCTCTGCACAGCCCCGGTCTGCATGGTCTCATGCATCAATAGTGTTTGTAAAACTTTTTCGCGGACAATAGATTGATCTATTATTATATCAATGGAGGACGACGGAGAAGGCACTTGCAAAGACTGGAGAGTTAATAAGAAGCGTCTAAAGTGTGGGAGCACTTCTTTTTGAACACTGAACAGGAGAAGTTAGCACACATTGCTAAGTGGAGCTAGCCTCTCATGATAACACCAGTTTGATGCTGCAGCACCTGACGAGGAAGCATCGAGGGAAGATCCGAGACGAGGCAAGTCGACTTTCATGTTATGGTGTAAGGCACGCGTTGTGAAAGTAAAATGTTGATGATAACACGGAGAGGTTTTCCTGCAAACAGTCACACGCTACCAAAGCGGCATGGTTGAAAACTATCAATGTAGCCGCTTGTAGCCTACATTAAGCCTTTCATTTGTTAGCGCAGTGATGAAGCAGGTTTATCAGTACCTACATAAGAAATGTGTTATGAATGTTTTACTTAATTTGACATTCACTACAATCCTAGTGCCAACGGGTATTATACTATTCCACAAGTTATCTGAACTCTGTATATAATTAATATGCCTGTATGAACAATATAATTAATATATACAGGTGTGTGATTGACATTTAAGGTCTGCTTTTCCCTGTCTTTCAGTGAACCATCAGAGCCTTAGGACCGGTTCCTTCTCCCAGCACCAGCAGCTGTTCTGACGGATAATATTTGAAATCTTCTGGTCAGAGACATGCCTCATCTGATTTTGTTCAATGTGGAAGGACTCAAAAATCAACCGTGGCACAGGTGCAATCGCCGATGCCTTGTCTTCATTTGATAATATGAATTCAATAAACTGTATACAATTTAAAAACGGTTTGATATAGTATTTTTTTTCCCTCTTGATTACTCGATTAATCGATCAGTGTATTCGATAAAATATTCGATAGCTGCAGCTCTACCTGGAAGACATAAAAAAATCATTTAATCTTGTAATTTGTTATTTTTATGGTTGGGACAGTGCATGTTAATGAACACACCTCACTCATTCACCCTGACCCTAATCAGCCACAACAGCAATAATTTGTGCTTATCTGGATCTAGAAATGTTGGATTTTCTGTTGCTTCCATTGTTGAGGCTTATTCAATTTCTAGCCTTTGTAAATGTTGATGTATTAATACTTTGAATTCTGCTATTGAGATCTGCTACAGCGATCGACAGCATCAGGGCAACTTCAAAGCTACTAAAAGCACTGTTTAAATATGTAGCAAATACAACACCACTTTGAAGAGACAATGCCAGTTGGAAGCTGATCTAATGAAAATAGAAATGGTCACCTCCATAGCGCTCTTCCCGGTCACTATCTCCATCACTGTCTTCATCCGGATAGTCATTCCTCCAGTTACATTCTTCGTTCTCATCGTCCTCATCTTCATAGACCTCTTCTTCGTGAACTACAAGGTCAGGAACCTGGAAATGGAATTTAAGAGTTGTCTTTTAAGTGTTTAAATTACATGATTGTTCATGGTACAATTAGTTAAAAACCACTAAAGTAAGACAAACAAACTTTGATTTTACTTTTATAAACAAACAAGTAGTTAAGATTGAATCAATTAATCAATTACTAAAAACTGTTCTACAGCGACACCATATGAATCAGTCACTCACTCCGACATGAGCCTCATTCATCTCATTCATCTGTGTGTCCATCCATCCACACACACCAGTTCTCCCTCATCAGCGTAGGCCCTGACAGACAGGATGTCCTGGATCCATCCGGGTGTGGCCGCCTCCTGGCAATACAAGTCGTAGACGTAATCGTCTTCATGCTCACGGTGCTCTCCACCAAGAACTTCCTCAGAGACGCACAAGCGCTCACGGAGCAACTTAGTGTTGTTACATAAGATAACCTCAGGATCGGTCAGTGTCTGGTGAACAAAACAAATGCATCATCATTAAAAATGTTTTCTTCTGAGCAAGAATGTAGCATACTGTCAAAGTATTAAATAATAACAAACCACTAACCTTCGCACGCTTATTTGAGTCTTGTGGATCTTCGTGTAGCAAATCAACCACCTGAATCTCTCCAATAGACCAACTTTTGTCCTGTTCTTTGGAATTGTCCACTGCGTTCTGTGGGGGGTCTGTGGGTGGGGTGTGCTGCTCAGCTGGAGGGGACACTGCTGTGCGGTGGCTGGAGATCAGCCTGTAGCGTTCCTCTCTCCGGGTGCTCCACTTGGCACTGCGGAGGTCTCCGATGATGCGCTGAGAGCTGGCCGCAGAGGGTCGAAGTGCGTGCGCCATACGGGGCCGGGCCAAAGCCTGTCGAACTTGTGTTTGAACTGGAGCATCCTGAAAACACAGCTGTTTTAGTCTCTGACCTTATTTATCATATTATAAGAGACATTAATAAGAAACGTTGATAGTAATCGTTGAATAAAGTATCTCAAAACGAACAAACCCAGGTTCCGTCCAAAATCATGCAAATAATGACTATCTGTAACTAATGGACAAGCTACATGCTAACAACAGATAGCTAACGTTAGCTTTAGCCACAGCAGCTACTGTAACATGTGATATTCGTCTGTGTGGTGTTATTGTATCCGTAAGATGTTTATCTGAGGAATTGTTGAATATGCCCATCCACAGCCTTACGGGGCGTCCATGTCTAACATTAGCATTAGCATTAGCACCAGCCTTACGGGGCGTCCATGTCTAACATTAGCATTAGCATTAGCACTGTTGAAGGCCGCGCACCTGTGTTGCTACCGTCGCCACGAGTTTGAAGACGGAGTTCTCTACAGCCTCCTGCGCCTCCTGCTCCACCTCCTCCCGGGGCTCTGGAGCTCCTTCAGGCGCACTTTGGGAGGCCTCCGGGCGGATGCGTTTACAGGCCAGCAGCAGTGCATCTGCCGGGTCAGTACCCCGCTTTCTCTTCACACGTAAGATGGTTGTGTTTGGGTCCATGGTCACCTCTGTCTCTGTCGGTCCTGCAGCGGCGTGCTCACGCTGACGTCACGAGCCCCCACCTCCGTGATTCTTCTTCTTCTTCTGTTTTTCCTCTGAGTTTTTTGGCAGTTGGTAATCACAATTAAGGCGCATTACCGCCACCTGCTGTATGAACTAAGAACAACTTAGTTGTTGCTAGGCCAATGATACTAATAATAATAACCAAGCAAAAATAAATAAAATAATTATAATTGAACACCAAAATGCATTGATACAAATCACTTTCTTACAAAAATGTCCATAAAACCATGCAACACCAACTTTTAGCTCCCTGTTGCAGAATGTCACTCGCGTTCAGTCTTTGTTTCAGTTTTTCTTTTCAAAAGAATGTCTCTGAATATATAACATAGAGGATCTATGTTCTCTTCAAAATGTTATAACATCAGAATGTTTAACAGAATCCGGAAATGTCATCATCACAGGATGGCATACAGGCATGGACAGGAGGAGGGGAGGATTTCTGAGTACTGAAGCTCAAACTAGGATTACGGAAACACTAATGTGAGAATAAATCTAAAATGCGTTTGTGTTCCTCTGTTAGGATCCGCAAAGTGGGGTCCACACATAGACTGCACGACTCTAGTCTTGTATTTCTCCTTGTCTGGTAGAACTAGTATTTGATTGATGTTTTCCCTATTTAACTATCAATAAGTGCTACCATCTATAGTTACAGTAGCTGCAGCTGTCGGGTGTAACTACACAAAAACGGCGTTTGGCAATGTTTTTTTAAAATTAATGACAGTACACAGTCAGTGACAATACTCAAAGAAGAAGCAGTGAGTGGTCTGTGTGCTGAGTTCAGTGAATGCATTTCAGACAGGTTAGAAGTTTTCTCTTTATTAGTGTAACAGGCCATATAAGTTAACAACTTTTATTAGAAGCCCCCCGACCTCTTCTTTTTCTGAAAAGGTAAGACACCCTCGAGAGCGCTGGTCAAGACCCTCTCTCTAATCACAGCCCTGATCTGGAGCCAGGCCCAACAGAGCAGCAGGACGACGAGTGATCCCTAAGCCTCAAACGATGGCGATATACTGTATATGTTGATCATAGACTTGTGTCAATCATCTTCTGGGAAGCTGATTGGTCTCTGCTTGATGAGTTGGTTTCAGATTTAGACTTATATCTCAAAGCAAGACACCACAGGAATATAAGAAAACCTACACAAGAGAAAATACTGTCAGACATACAGGCGTCATGAAACAACTAACTCTCAGGACTGACCTTGCAGTGCATTAAAGACAGTGAACACATATATCCCTGCTGTGGATATGTACGATACGCAGGCGAGTCCCCAGGGTAACCCCAACACACAGCTGAGGCCCAGCACTGTCACCGCATCCTTCCACAACTGGTATATTCTTTCCTTTTGTAGAATTTTCAATTTTTGACTTCCTTCCATGTCATATTCTGCTCTTCGTAAACCCCACAGTTGACAAATCACTTTCCCCAGCATGCTTCCATTGCAGAGGATGACCACACAGGGAAAGGCCACAGTAGTCACATAGTTCACTATGATGCTGTGTGGGACATTGTTACTTATCCAACATCTGTATCAGAGGAGACATGAATACATGGTATGATTATGTACAGTTCATTTATCTCCTCTACAGCGCCATTTACAGTTGACTCTTACATCTCCCCTATTGTCGTTTGGTTGTTGGCATCTGTTATTACGTAATTTCCATAAACATTAGCAATTGTGCAAAACACTGAAACCAGGGTAGGAAAACCTGTTCAACAGAATAAATCATTATTGATTATTCTGGAATATGAAGCAACAACAACAACAATAACTTATGTACTGACCCCATCCAAACAGGCTGATCTTCAGCACATATTTCCTGACATAGATGTTAAAAACCCTGACCAGAAGTAGGTACAGATGAAATCCTTCCAGAGCCACCCAGCTGAAAGTGGCCAGCAGTGACCAGTGCATAAATATGCCCATGGCTTTGCAGAGTAAACTATTGCCCATTTCTGGGTTAAACCAAAGAAACAGGCTGGATATCAGAAAGCTCTGATGAAGGAACCACATGGCCACTGCCAACTGAATGTGAATACCAAGGGCCTTCTCAGGACGCCGCCAGCTGGAAAGAATTCAGATTCAGATTCATTTATTTGTCATTTGCAGTAAAACCACATTGGAATACATTTGCAAAAGTCCCCAGTGTGCACAAGACAAGTGCATACATAAAACCACATTAATGAATTAATGAATTTAACGCCCAAGTGTTAAAGATAAATATACATTATGACTTTTTCAAACCTGTCTTCCCACATAAAACAAGTGTCCTGCGTTCACACATAAGTTAAACCAGTTTTTTTTTAAGTTAAAGTGAAAAGAATCCAAAGGGCTTACTTACTGTAGACACATTAATAGGAACAAGCTCATGAGAGTGAAGACAACAGAAAATGCTGATCCTACATAACTAACGTAGGTGAGGGTCAGAGCATTCTGCTCATCCACTACTATTGCCGGGTTCTGTGGAACAAAGAGAGATATCAAAGAAAAGACAATCAAGAATCAACAGTGTTTGCTTTTGCTATTTAATGGTTCCCTCTGTGAGAAATAAAGGAAAAATGTTCTTCTCCACTTTGACTTCAGGCTGGTTTGGCCCTTGGGGGCTGACTAAGGGTGGGACATAGGCCGCTCTAGTTTCACTTAAAATAGAGCCTTTCTCATTTTGACTGAGAGGCTCTATAGAATTGTTGAGAGGATATTTCCTCACACTCCACACAGTGATGGGTTGCCATGTATGACATGTTTTCAGTATTTAGATGTGTTCACAGCAAAGTGTAAATTATAGTATCTTGACAATCTTAGATTGGAAAAAAAAGATTTCAAACACAGACATATCAAAGAGATAGTGTGGATACATTAAAAAGAAAGACTTAAAAATACATTCAAGGCAAAATGTTAAACAACCAGATCAGCCTCTGATTTTAAAAGTCAACTGTGACGCATTAACATTAACACATCAGGAAATCTCTTGATTTAATCATAAAAAAAAAAGATCAATACAAATTGAAATGACCCTTGAAAAAAGTGTGATGGACGTGATCATTTCCGTCAATTCTTTGCTAAAAATCAAACTTGAGAAAAAAATGATGGTCTGGTTTTACATTCAATTAGTTTACTATGAAAGTAGTAAACAAATAGAATCTCCTAATCAATTGTGGATATCTGAAAATATGTAACAAACCTCCGCAGCTCATTCCATAAAAGGATCAGGCCCATGACACAGACAAACAGATACTATAGAACATGTGACTAATGTGTAGAACAGTTCTCTTAAACTACCACTGGACTGAAGAGGTATTTGAATACATGTAAAAACATCACACTTGTGTTGTCACACACTTTAATACACTTTGAATGAGCCCATTTCCACAGAAAACATGCAAACTACTGAGAAAGAGGAACCTCTACTTTCTGTGAAGCACTAACCACTCAAATATTCTACTCTGTATTAATAACATTTGTGAATATATTAAATGTATTGTAGTGCCTTGGTGTGTATCTGTGTGTGTCTGTGTGTGTCTGTGTGCATCTGTGTGTATCTGTGTGTGTCTGTGTGTATCTGTGTGCATCTGTGTGTATCTATGTGCATCTGTGTGTATCTGTGTGTATCTGTGTGTGTCTGTGTGTGTCTGTGTGTATCTGTGTGTCTGTGTGTATCTGTGTGCGTCTGTGTGTATCTGTGTGTATCTGTGTGCATCTGTGTGTATCTGTGTGCATCTGTGTGTATCGTGTGTGCATCTGTGTGCATCTGTGTGTATCTGTGTGTATCTGTGTGTGTCTGTGTGTATCTGTGTGTATCTGTGTGTGTCTGTGTGTGTATCATGTGTATACGTGTGTATCTGTGTGCATCTGTGTGTATCATGTGTATACGTGTGTATCCGTGTGTATCTGTGTGTATCCGTGTGCATCTGTGTGCATCTGTGTGCATCTATGTGCATCTGTGTGTATCTGTGTGTATCTATGTGCATCTGTGTGTATCTGTGTGTATCTGTGTGTATCCGTGTGCATCTGTGTGCATCTGTGTGCATCTATGTGCATCTGTGTGTATCTGTGTGTATCTATGTGCATCTGTGTGTATCTGTGTGTGTCTGTGTGTGTCTGTGTGTGTCTGTGTGTATCTGTGTGTATCTGTGTGCATCTGTGTGTATCATGTGTATACGTGTGTATCCGTGTGTATCTGTGTGTATCCGTGTGTATCTGTGTGTATCTGTGTGTATCTGTGTGCATCTGTGTGTATATCTGTGTGTATCTGTGTGCATCTGTGTGTATCTGTGTGCATCTGTGTGTATCTGTGTGCATCTGTGTGTATATCTGTGTGTATCTGTGTGCATCTGTGTGTATCTGTGTGCATCTGTGTGTATCTGTGTGTATCTGTGTGTGTCTGTGTGTGTATCATGTGTATACGTGTGTATCTGTGTGCATCTGTGTGTATCATGTGTATACGTGTGTATCCGTGTGTATCTGTGTGTATCCGTGTGCATCTGTGTGCATCTGTGTGCATCTATGTGCATCTGTGTGTATCTGTGTGTATCTATGTGCATCTGTGTGTATCTGTGTGTATCTGTGTGTATCCGTGTGCATCTGTGTGCATCTGTGTGCATCTATGTGCATCTGTGTGTATCTGTGTGTATCTATGTGCATCTGTGTGTATCTGTGTGTGTCTGTGTGTGTCTGTGTGTGTCTGTGTGTATCTGTGTGTATCTGTGTGCATCTGTGTGTATCATGTGTATACGTGTGTATCCGTGTGTATCTGTGTGTATCCGTGTGTATCTGTGTGTATCTGTGTGTATCTGTGTGCATCTGTGTGTATATCTGTGTGTATCTGTGTGCATCTGTGTGTATCTGTGTGCATCTGTGTGTATCTGTGTGCATCTGTGTGTATATTTGTGTGCATCTGTGTGTATCTGTGTGTATCTGTGTGCATCTGTGTGCATCTGTGTGCATCTGTGTATATCTGTGTGCATCTGTGTGTATCTGTGTGTATCTGTGTGCATCTGTGTGCATCTGTGTGTATCTGTGTGTATCTGTGTGCATCTGTGTGCATCTGTGTGTATCTGTGTGTATCTGTGTGTATCTGTGTGCATCTGTGTGCATCTGTGTGCATCTGTGTGTATCTGTGTGCATCTGTGTGTATCTGTGTGCATCTGTGTGCATCTGTGTGTATCTGTGTGCATCTGTGTGTATCTGTGTGCATCTGTGTGTATCTGTGTATATCTGTGTGCATCTGTGTATATCTGTGTGCATCTGTGTATATCTGTGTGTATCTGTGTGCATCTGTGTGCATCTGTGTGCATCTGTGTGTGTCTGTGTGTATCTATGTGCATCTGTGTGCATCTGTGTGTATCTGTGTGCATCTGTGTGTGTATCTGTGTGTATCTGTGTGTATCTGTGTGTATCTGTGTGCGTCTGTGTGTATCTGTGTGTGTATCTGTGTGTATCTATGTGCATCTGTGTGCATCTGTGTGTATCTGTGTGCATCTGTGTGTATCTGTGTGTATCTGTGTGCATCTGTGTGTATCTGTGTGCATCTGTGTGCATCTGTGTGTATCTGTGTGCATCTGTGTGCATCTGTGTGTATCTGTGTGTATCTGTGTGCATCTGTGTGTATCTGTGTGCATCTGTGTGTATCTGTGTGTATCTGTGTGTATCTGTGTGTATCTGTGTGTATCTGTGTGCATCTGTGTGTATCTGTGTGTATCTGTGTGTATCTGTGTGTGTATCTGTGTGTATCTGTGTGCAGATGACCTTTCATATTTTGTCTCATTCAGTGCCGCAAACACTTTATTTAAAAAGTAAACACATGGTTCACTCACCACAAGAACGGCAAAAAAGCTGAGGTGGTTGCAGCTACATATGTAATAAGTTCCATTATAGTCAGTGGTACAGCCGTCTGTGTTCCAGTCCCCTAAAGAGAGACAGAAGGACATGACTGACTGATATTGTTGAGTAAAACCATTTTGGACTTCACCTGAATCTTCCCAAAAAACACATGTACCATTCAGCCCCTTCAAGACAATACAGGAAGAACGTTTCAGTAACTTGACATTATCTATAGAAGTATACTCTTGTCGTGTTACCTTCTCCTGAGGATGGAAGAGTAACTTGACAGGCACTGATAAGTTACCAACACGCCGTGTCCCTGCCTTCACCACCAGCACAGATTTGTCTAAAATAATGCTGGTCTTCTCCCCACTTTTTGCTGGTGCAGACTCAGGCTAAAGAAAGAAAGTTTAAGATGATTCACAAATGACAACATTCCTTTTAGACCTGTTGTGTTGAACTTGAAACCCAATCCTATTTCTGCTTATCTATACGTAAAGCAGTGGTTCCCCCCGGACGAGCTGGAGGAAGTGTGTGTGGATAGGGAAGTCTCTGGGCGTCTCTGCTTAGACTGCTGCCCCCGCGACCCGGCAACGGATAAAGCGGGGGATGGATGGATGGATGGAAGCAGTGGTTCGGCAGTAAACGTCGCAACAATGGATTATTATCACAATATTATTCAGCCATGTGAATTGTCACGCTTATTTTGCTGGTCCCTGAATGACATTTTTGAGAATGACTGATCTAGAATTCAGGGATTCAACAAGTTCAACTGGTGTTTTTATGAACTCAGGTATAAATGTCTTATGTTATGACACAGATAGAGATTGTTTTCAGTGTTGTTACTAACCTTAAAGTAAGAGCTGTTTAAAACTGTCACCACCACTCGCACATACTTGTCCTCGTCCCCTTGGCTCATCTTCAAAGCCGACGATGGGATTTGAACTCTGTGATTTCCCATCGGCACATTTGCCTGTAAAGAATTAAACATTACAGCATATATTATACCGTAATGCAAACTCAACACATTGTTTGTGTGTTAAATATATACCTCTTCTGAAGGTTCTAGCGTTTGCAAATAGAAACGTGGGTTCTCTTGTCTCCCTTTTTTTGAACATTTACTTATTTCATTCTCATAACACCTGTCAACACAAGAGTTTCTGTCACAACCAAAGTGACTTGAAACGTTTTTTTAAATCTATCGGAACAAACATCTTACTTAGAAAATCCCACCGGACTAACCAGACACATAGACTCTACATCATCACAGAAAACTAAAATGAAAAGAGGAAATGTTAAATAGACAACAGGTTTGGCCATAATGTTTGTGAAATATGTACAAAAACATCAAACTACTGCATTCAAACTTAACAAGCCTCATGTCGAGGGACTAATCATCAAGAGGTATTACTAATGTGTGCGTATATATGTATAAATACTGTATATATATATTCACACACAAATATTCATATTAATATATATACTTACCAGTCCGACCAGCAGCGTTTGTCAAAAAGCTGAAAAAAGGCATCATCACACAAATGGAAATCCACATGGTACAAACAATATGCAGTAATCTATATAGATCTACTTCGTACGTGGCTTTGATCCTAGTGAGCACAGGCAGTTTCAGGTCCTCAACGTCAGACGGAAATGATTCAGTGGGTTTGTGACACTGCCCTAGATTCTATCACTTACATGTAAATATGACATATTTGCATGTATCTATAAAATACATTATCACTGTATAGATATATTACGTTTGAACATATATAATAAAATAAACATTAACAACATAGAAGTATATGTTGTGTAATAAAGAAAACATGTTAAGGAGGAAAGAGGAAGTTTCAACATGTTTTTGGTTCCATGACAGAGTTAGACGTGACAAATGACAAAAATAAATGCTTTTTTCTCAGTTCCTGCAACTTATCCAATTCACATCAATCCACTTTTCCACCAGCAGTTTCCAAAGTGCTGTTCAACAAGCAAAAACTGGCAACAAATAAATACACACATAAAAATAAAAAACTTAAAAACCGCGGTGTGAGTGTTTGGAGCCCAATGGTCCGAACTGTATTGAGTGTAGATTATCAACCTACAGTAGAGTGTCCTGGTGCACAGAAGTCCAACTGAACACCACTTTCAAGTTAGTTGATATTACTACATTGTGTATGGTTATTTTAGTTTTCATTGTTTGTTATTACACATAGAAATGCAAATCATGTATCATGAGTCAGCAACAACATACTTCACTGTTCTTACAATGATTCAGAAACATCCAATTCACTTGGAACACAACGCACAACATGACACGGTCCATTTGGTAAATTACAATTTTCAAATTCATCAAAACTATGAATTTACTCATGAAACAAGTGAAAATATGTCTTATATTCTAGGTCTTATAATCAGAGCAAAAGTAGGACCTTTCGCTCTGATTACTGCTTCACACATCTTGATGAGCTTCAAGAGGACCTGAAATGGTCTTCAACAGTCCTGAAGGAGTTCCCATGATGCTTAGCACTTGTTCGCCCTTTAGCCGTCACTCTGTGGTCCAGCCCCAAAACCATCTGGATTGGGTTCAGGTCCGGTGACTGTGGAGGCCAGGTCATCTAGCCCAGCACACACCACTCTCCTTATAGGTCAAACAGCCCTCACACATCCTGGTGTGGATCTACAGTCAATAGTCATGAAAAGAAAGGACACTCATTGAATGAGAAAGTGTGTCCAAACTTTTGGTCTGTGTGTTAAGTCAATCTCGGCTTAAATCTAAAACATCTTTCTAATCTACTCTTACTGCTCTGTCTATCTTCCTATCTCTTTTGTTATTTTAAGTTTAGCCTGTAGATGGAGGCATAGTTAGTTTGGGACCAGTAGTCTGGCAAATAATTAGCCAAGTTTGTGCAGGTGCGTAACCACACACACAAACAAAGTGAACACAGATGCTACTGGTGAGTGAAGTTTTCTGTTTAAAAGCTTAAAATAGACAACGGTCTCATTTTAGTTCGTTTGCTATCAGGAATGTAACATATTTTGGCTAATCCAACCAATTTGTGTCACCCAAGTGAGGGTTAATATTATTTGAACTTATTTCTCAGTCTAGGCACCTCAACTCTATTTAGCTAATATTTATTGTGGGTAACTTTCAGTTAATTGTAATCATGTATAAATATTTACAAGAAATTCTCTTTTAACGTCTCACAATCAGTTTAATTGATTGGCTCTGTAAATTGAGTTAACAGTACAGTCTAAAATATTTGTAATTCATTTATTTGTTCTAAATCTTCAATCATCCGCTAAAAAGTTAGTGTTATGATAAAATACAAAATGTTAAAATATTGTGATAAAATTTGTAAAAACTAAAAGTAATTAAGTTAAATTCTAAAAGTATTTGGATTGTAGTTATTGTAATAAAACATTAACATTATGATAACAATTACAATAAAATTCAAGTTAAAAACATGGTAAAAATAGTACACATTTAGTTTAAAAGTATTAATTCATTCTTTAAAAAGTAATTAGATATAATCTGTTTATTAAAAATGTATATTTTCCCCAAAGGTTTTCGACCTGCTGCTGTTGCTACTGCTGATTCAACAAATGACAATAAAAAGTTGAAGCTGAGTTGAACCTGCGTCCTTGTGTTCATTGGTTTTTCAAGTCGAACCTGCATTCAGACATCAAAACTTTAAAGGACTTAGATCATTTATTGATCCCCCATAGGAGAAATTCACATGTCCAGCAGCAGAAGACTCATCCAGGTTTGTTGTACAGTCTGACAGCCAAAGGAACAAATAATATATCAAATATATCATAATATAATATTAAATACATATTGACTAACTAAACAGTGAATTTAATGCGTAGCTGAAATATAAAAACAAGTTTATAAAAGTGTGAGAGACGTTATGAGAGCTTCTGGTCTGCTGCTGATTTGAGATTATTTGAGCTCTGGGTTTCAGACATTATACTTGATGCTTTTCTGATCTTTAAGACGGACATCGCAAACCACACGAGAATAAATACACCTGAAAACAGGAAATAAAGTGAAAGTAAAAAAGTGAAATGACATCATCATCATTCAACTCATGCAAATATCAGAAGCAGGAATAAATGTGGAGAAAATATTCAAAGCATTGGAAACAAACAGGCTTCTGTCGTCTCATTTAAATGGAAAGTTGTTATGGAATAACGCACCTTGGAGTGAATTCAGGATGGAAAAAGCGTACAATCCAATGGTGGTGAGTTGGCCAAATGAGAAAAAGATAAGACCCCATGTGGTTCCAAGCAAAGTGGTGACTCCCAACAGGGTGCAGATGTCCTTCTTCGTTCGGTTCCAGTCATTTGGCCCAAACTAACAACAAAAGATGATGAGATATGGTAACTTTGGCTTTATAAGTTCTTCTTTTGCCAGTTAATCAGGCTACACTTTGTTTATCACCTGTTTACTTTTTCGCAAACTTAAAATCTTTCTGACAACCACCATTAGCAGGAACAAGTTGAAGAGAAACACCAAACCAAACAGCCCCATCGTAGACACCGCTTTAACAACGTCATCACGAATGAAGCACCTGAAATCAAAGAAAACAATTATCAAGATCTGAAGATATACACACAAGTAACATAATATTTACATCTCAGTGGAGTTAGACTGGTCCAGAGACACAGATCCGTAAAAATCTCTGTCTATGATGACCACGATTGACACAACAACCGTAGGAACACCTGTGGAGAAAGAAGTAGGTACAGTGGGGCAAAAAAGTATTTAGTCAGCCACCGATTGTGCAAGTTCTCCCACTTAAAATAATGACTGAGGTCTGTAATTTTCATCATAGGTTCACTTCAACTGTGAGAGACAGAATGTGAAAAAAATATCCAGGAATTCACATTGTAGGATTTTTAAAGAATTTATTTGTAAATTATGGTGGAAAATAAGTATTTGGTCAATAACACAAATTCAGCTTAATGGGAGGAGGTTTGGGCTCAAAATCTCACGATACATGGCCCCATTCATTCTTTCCTTAACACGGATCAGTCGTCCTGTCCCCTTAGCAGAAAAACAGCCCCAAAGCATGATGTTTCCACCCCCATGCTTCACAGTAGGTATGGTTTATACCAAACAGTTCTACTTTGGTTTTATCTGACCACATGACATTCTCCCAATCCTCTGCTGTATCATCCATGTGCTCTCTGGCAAACTTCAGACGGGCCTGGGCCTGCACTGGCTTCAGCAGGGGGACACATCTGGCACTGCAGGATCTGATTCCCTGTCGTCGTAGTGTGTTACTGATGGTAACCTTTGTTACTTTGGTCCCAGCTCTCTGCAGGTCATTCACCAGGTCCCCCCGTGTGGTTCTGGGATATTTGATCACCGTTCTCATGATCATTTTGACCCCACGGGATGAGATCTTGCGTGGAGCCCCAGATTGAGTGAGATTATCAGTGGTTGAAATATCATTTTGGGCTATCTTTTATACAGATAACGTGTTCAAACAGATGCCATTAATACAGGTAACCAGTGGAGGACAGAAGAGCTTCTTAAAGAAGTTACAGGTCTGTGAGAGCCAGAGATCTTCCTTGTTTGAAGTGACCAAAATCTTATTTTCCACCATAATTTACAAATAAATTCTTTAAAAATCCTACAATGTGAATTCCTGGATTTTTTTTTTCACATTCTGTCTCTCACAGTTGAAGTGTACCTATGATGAAAATTACAGACCTCTGTCATTATTTTACGTGGGAGAACTTGCACAATTGGTGGCTGACTAAATACTTTCTTGCCCCACTGTATGTAGGTATGTCGGTATGTCCAAATATGAGAATCACAATGTTAAATGGTGCAAACAAAGCAGACGTGATGTAAATGACCTAGATAAAATAGAATAGTTTTTGTACTGCTTATAGGTTATACGGGAGGATTTTCCCAAATTTTAGGAAAGTACCGCCCTCTCCACTTTTTGAAGAAAACTCTCTGGTCTTATTTGACGAGCACGTATCACCAGATTGATATTGATTGACAATTGGAAGGGTATAACTTTAAAGCTGGACTAACTCACTTTGTGATTTTGAAGCAGCCGTTTGAAAAGTAAGCGCTGGGCTCGCTCTCGCACCCACGAAGCTATCGCCCCCCACTAACCCCCTTCCCACTTTTGTTTACAGAGCTAGCGTCTCACAATATTTGAACGTGGATGGCGTGACCATGGAATGATAGAACCAGGAAGCGCAGAGGATGAGACTTTCTTTTGAATGGCTGTTTCGCTCTGTAAGCAGTAACCGGTAACAAAGACACAGGAAGCGTCAGGTTAGCTCCGCCGCTTGTTTACCTCAACTCAAATGTCTGTGCGCGCTAACGAAAGACCTGTAGATTTCTCAAGAAAGTGGGGGCCAGTGGTTTGTTGTGATTGGTCACAATCTGGTCTCGAAACAAATTCTCTTCCTTGTTGCATGAAAACTCGATCTAAAAAAAAAAAAAACCCCGCCAGCACAAACTTGCGCTACTTATTCTTCAAAAGGACGTATATCCCAATACACTGCATGGAAATGGATTGCATTTTTGTAATGAATACAAAAATAAAGTAAGGTAGTGCAGCTTTAATCTATCCAGGTAATGTATGGGCTGATAGCATTTTTATATTGACGTTTTTTTGTCTCTTTGTTCAAAATGCCACACTATACAATTTGACCATATTGTAAAATTGCTTTACATTTTGGAATGTTTGTTTAGACAGAGACGCTGCGGAGACGCTACAAAGCAATGAGCAAAAATTACCAGGCTCCTTATTAAACGATGTAGTTTTAGCGCCCGGGCCGTAGGAGGCAGTGGAACTTTACAACACGACACGCACAACCCCCATCAGTATAATAACTTCATCAATAACATCCTCCTCAGGCCGCCGTAAAGCCGGGAAACAATGCACCAAAATCATTATGCATTTAAGAGTAGCTGCGAAAACGTAGCATTAGTTGATCTGCCGACGTTACTGTTTGTTTGCTCTCGGCTACTGCACATGTCCAAATGTACGTACGGTGAAGTGGTCAGGTCATAGCAGAAGAGAATTACACCTTTTTCTTCACACAGGCTGTTTCTCAACGCTTTCGTTTTCACCTGAAACACTGACTTCATGTAAATGAAAGGCCAATCCAATACCAACTCTAACGTTTTACTGAGGCAGCGTCCTCATGTGAACAACACGAGTCTGTCTCCAACCATGAACCACTGGCAGCAGACTGTCGACTTCACGTTGATCACAGTGAAAACCCTCTTTCAAAGAGCATGATCAGTACTAGTGTACGACAGGAGAATCTAAAACGTATTTAAAGAATGTAAAATAAATATTATACTTCCATATTGCGTATACAAATCTCAAATTAATACTAAAATTACAAAATGTAAAGCCATTTGTCAATTGCATTGCATTTTTAATATAGAGACCAAAAACCATAAATACCTAAATATAATGTTTTATCTTTTCTATTCTAAACTTTAGGAAGTCAATGCAACAGTTTCAAATCTAAGAATTGTTTTGAGTTCAGCGTGCTATGATGCGAGATAATGACCTACCTTTGAATATTCTTATTCAGCTATTGTCTAAAATATCTTAAATAAGAAACTACCTCGACCACAGTGGCAAACACAGCATGAACCTTACCCCATCCCACTAGGCTGACTTTGAGCAGGTATTTCCTGATGTTTATGTTAAAAACTTTAACCAGGAGGAGATAGAGGTGAAATCCTTCTACTGCCATCCAGCTGAAGGAGCTGAGCAGTGAGAAGTGCAGCCCAATGGCCAGGTAGAAGCAGAGCCATGGGGACGGCCAGGAGAAGGTCCAGATTCCAGTGGCAGCGTTTGGGAGGAAGTGCATGTTGAGAAGGAGGAGGGCTGCGACAAGGTTCACGTGGATCTTCATGGAGACGTCTGATCGCACTTTTCTATGGCACAGAAATTTACTTTTTCAATCATGGATGACAGACTGTAGATGTAAAGGTTGTTGGGTTGTTGTGGGTATTCCTATATCAAGGATGGGATAATATTTTCTCCATGGATCACATTGTGAAGTGACAAATACAAATAATTATTAATTATATTTATTCATGAAATATAAACTAAAATACTTGTGTTTTCTTTGTGTTTGTTTATAGCTAATCTCGAGCTATTGTTTTGTTTTAATTAACTTTTCTACATTATGAAGTATTTTGGACATATATTGTAGGAGGATCTTTGTTTACATCCCCGTGCGCCACTCGCTGGGTGGCAAGAAGACAGAGTGGTCCATACTGAAGCATGGTTGCGACAAGTACTCTGAAAAGACTCAGTGGGCAAAATGCATTGTATATAAGCACTTTAACGCAAGAAGATCAGAAAAGAAATAAAGACAGGCTAAAAATACGTATATGAGACCGAACTGAACAAATTCAAAGCCCCAGATAAGACCTGGGATGACCACATACATTGGTCAAACCATTTCTTGCGTTTTTCACCGTGGTAAAGTGACCCGGCTTTTCGACGTGGCAGTAAAGTGGTCCGCACATTTAAAGCGGGTTGCCCCTTTATGCTGTTACTTACGGTAAACGTGGAAAAGGAAACCACGGGGATGTGCAACCAAAATGCAATGTTTAAAGGAGCAATATGTAATATTTGCATGTCAAGTCATCATTAAATGACCCGAATATTTCAAAAGGCCTTAAACAAATCATGTTCTTTTCAAACACATCTTTAACTGATAACAGTAGTTCATCCGAGATATTTTAATATCAAAATTAGTTTTACGACCCGTAAAAGTTGTTATTGTTTTGATTTTGATGTCCTACCCTCCGCCGTTTCGCCAATCAGGAAGTGTCATGTAAGTCCGTGATCGAGTTGCCAGAACTCCGTGCGGCTCATTAATCTCAGTGGTAAAATAACATGTGGCGCAGAACTAAAAAAGGTCTTGTTATGACTCTCAAATCATTAATGACAAAACAAAGACTAAAACGAGGATTTATATCGGGATGCCTTTGAACAATTGAGACAGCTGCTAAAAGTTTACGTGTGATGCAGAATTTTCTAGTTTGAGTCCGTTCTTCACAGTGTCTCTGTTTGTGTGAATCGGTGGTACAGTGGTCTAAACTGTGCGCTTACGATGCAGGAACCCGGGTTCGATCCCGGGCTATGTCTTTTTGTATTTATTGCATGTTATCACATTCTATGACAGATTGCTCTAAAAACGGTAAAAGACGAAGGTCAAGACGTTTTTTTGCAGATTATAGCTTAATTGTAAAAATAATCATTTAAGACCACATGTACCCCAATTAAAATAATGTTAGTCTCTTTTTGATGTGGGACTTTTACATGTTTGTCTAAAAAATAGGGAATAAATAAAATTGAAAGGTGATATCCTCTGGAGCAAACCCTGATGTTGCTGAAGAAATACGTTCCAACATCCATTCTTTCCACTCCTATTTTGGACATCAATTGCTTATGTATTTTGCATAAACTATGTATAATTGCTTTTATTTTGTTTTTGATCTCAAATGTCCAAATAATAATAAATAAAAAAACATGAATCAAAACATTCATTCAGCATTAGCACGGCTGTCATGGCAATGTGAATGGAGACGGACAAACAACTGATAAAATAATTCCCTGTGTTTGCTGCTGGATTTGGTGTGAATCTGGCAACCTGAGTCAGGGAGAGTGGGAGAGGACTACAAAATATTGACTGACTGCAGTACCACTTTTGGCCAGATTTTTACATATTGTTCCTTTAAAAATCATAATCACAGTGAACAAGTGCGCAGTGAAAGTAGGTGCAAAACTGAATTTTTTTAATGGATTTTTCCCCCTCATCCTCGGCTTTCCTTTCTACATATACCATAGGTAATGGCATGGGCAATGTCACAAGGTGAGCTGAGTGAGGACTCAAATGCAGGAGTGCCAAAATAAAGCTTTTAATAAAAAAAAAGTCCAAGGCAAAAAACAAACTCCAGAAATCCAAAGTAACCAGGACAGAACATGACAAAACAATGAAGCAGCAACAAGGGGAGAGAAGCAAAGGGTACATATAGACACAGACACAGGTGAAACACATCAGGGCGGGGCAGACAATCAAGACAGGGGAAAACAGGACTGGAAGTCAAACTGAAACAAAACCACAGAACTTATTTCAAAATAAAAGCGAAATACAAAATCAAAATCCACACCATGACAGGCAACCCGCTTTTAATGGGCGGACCACTTTACCGAGGCCGTTTTTCGCTGTTCTCTTCCGACAGAATTAGAAAAAAAAAACTGGAACATAACTTTAAAAGCTTGAGTATTGTAGACTAATTAACAGATACATGGTTTTTGACATTATTTCTGAGAAGGATCCAGGGGCCGCACAGAAATGTAACTCGGGCCATTTTTATCCCCCGGCCCGCAGTTTGCCCAAGTCTATCCTTTATGGTTACTCTTTCGTTTGGCTATGGTATTCAAAGTAAGTAAGTAAGTAAGTAAGTTTTTATTTATATACCGCCTTTTCACTGCAGATCTGAGTCTCAAAGCGTACTATACTTTTTCAACTGTGCAGCATTTGAGACTTGGATGTTTGATAAATATTCCTTTTTTTTGAATATATATACTTTTTAATTATTTCACATCTTAATTTTTTTGGGGGGGAAATACAATGTATGACTTCATTATGGCAAGGATTATATATCTGAGTGAGGTAAACACGATTTTAAAGTGAACAAAAAGTTAAAACATAATCTAAATTACGATCCATCCAATGGTAGATCTTGTAGAATGGGAAAAAAAGACAAGCATGTGTTACAAACCCCTTACACGGAAAATGAAATAACAACCGTAATCCAGTTCTTAAAGCAAACAGTTCAAGATTCACTTTAATTTCTTTGTAAGGGTTTAGAACAGTTACTCACTTAACGATTATCAACCACAGAAAGTTCACATGAAAAGATATTTCCCATTACTGACTGTGTACCTGTTTGTGATGAAGAGCCCAACAGCAACGAGGAGGGCACAAAAGGAAAAGCTGCAGCCAATAAATGAGATGTACGTCAGAGTTTTCTTATCAACAGCTGAGATGTCTTCAGTAGTTTTCTTGTTGGTTATCTGAAAGACAACATATGTATGTTGAATGTCAATATTACAATATAATAATATAACTTATAACTAGGGCTGTCAAACGATTACAATTTTCAATTGAGTGAATTACAGCTTTAAAATTAATTAATTGAAATAAATCACATTTCTAACTATCGTCAAAGTTATGCCATATTTTTCTGTAAATAGTTGTTTGAATGGAAAGATAAATGACAACATAGTGTAAGTAAGTAATCTTTATTTATATAGCGCCTTTCACAGACCAGAGTCACAAAGCGGTTTACAATTGTAATTTTTGGGCAGTAGTCTGTCACTCCACACAGAGATCGGGGCCAGTACAGGAGGCACATGCCAGACCTATTTAACATGTTTTTAGTGGTAGGGGAAACCGGAGTACCTGGAGGAAACCTATGCAGACACGGGGAGAACATGCAAACTCCACTCAGAAAGGCCCTGGTCCGACCAGGATTCGAACCCAGGACCTTCTTGCTGAGAGGAGAGAGTGCTATCCACTCAGCCACCGTGCAGCCTTATGTATGTACTGTATTTGTTTATTATAAACGGGGCCTTAATTTAGCGAGTGCGCTCCGGGAGAAGACACGGAGGAGACCGAGGCTCCATAGTCCAGCTTCAGCGGTTTATTTATTGCGTGCACAGGTTATGCAAAGACACGCACACAAGCAGAGAATAGTTGTCTGTGCGTGTATGGACTTGGATATGACGTTACGGCGGCGCCGTTCGCCGTGTTATAGTCAAAGCGGCTCACAGCAGCTGGAGGTGGGAACCGCTGTAAAGAGCGGCCACAGCTGCCCTGGGTCAGAACGCTGTGGCCGCGGAGAATGCGGACTCCCGTTCAGTACAAACAGCAAACAACAGCAAGTGCCCCTCGGTCACGCGCCTATCCTTTTTAAACTTGAATTCAGAGGGCCTAACTGCTCTGTCGCCATCTTCACACGCATGTGTTATTATGGGATGCATGGGCGGGTACATGCATGAAATGCGTACATTTTTATGAACGCGATTAATGAAAAAATGTAATTAACGTGCGTTAACGCGATCATTTTGACACCCCTACTTATAACCCAAAATACCATTAGCACGCCGAAGAAAGTGAGATGATCACAGGAGCAGACAACATAGCTCTGTCCAGGCGTCCACTGGGTCGAACAGCCGTAAGTGTCTAATGACAGCTCACCTGAAAACATGAATGAGTCAAAACAACAGTCTTTAAAATATAATAACGTTTGGGGAATGCAAACACTTACTCTGAGTGGAGTCATTCACAAACACACAACGAGGACTGTGGGTTACCTGAAATTGAAATGGTTGATTTGTATTTATTCTTATCATAAAATAAACTCAGAAATATAATGTGTGTGTAATTGACCGTTTCCAATGTGGAGACATTCATGCTAATGTTGACCGTTTCTCGTAGACCTGAAACCTCTGCGTCCATAACAGTCAGGCCGATCAGTGTGTTATTATTATACAGGTAGTCTGAGGAGTTCACCAACTGGTCCTCAGATATACAATAAACATGTTATTAGTATAGCCACAGTTAAAAATGTTGTTGATAATAGTTTTAGTTAAGTTTAAATTCACATACTGCAGCTATCTGGGGTAAAGGGATCACAATGAAAGACAATCTGTGGAATATATCTACAGGCAGTTCCCGTGGCAACTGAGCAATTACATTAAAGTCTTGAATCCATTCAGTAGATATCTATGAGACACAATTGAAATATTATTTTATTACATTGTAGTAAGTTTTCCTCTAAAGACTTATTTGTAAATATAAAATATAAAGCTTACCTCAGTGGCATTGGAAAAAAGAGTTAAACCCTCAAAATTGGAAGCACACAAGGGTTTTTGGTAAGAATAAGATCGAAAATTTCCAACAGAGACAAGCGTTGCAGAGTTCAGACGTCCTAATCCCCTCGCAAATTCTAGCAACGAACTAAATCAAATACAGTTAAACCAACTCGAGCTCTCGTCTCATCAGTGTTTGTTGAAATACCTTACTGTATGTTGCCTTTATCCAAAAACTTTAGAACATTTTTCATGGACTCTTTTACTTTAGCTGAAAATCACATTTCCGATGTCATTTTTGTGGAAATATTACTGTATTTAAGTTATTATTAACAATTATTAAATTAATATGTTCAGGCCCAGCTCTATAGAAAGATAAATTTCATACCTGAACATCCATTTGAATAATGACGTTTATTTCCACTGTATTGGATGGAAGCTCTGAAATGTAAACAAAGGGATGAAAATGATGATGATGATGATGAATTGGTCTTTTCACACAATTTTGAAACCAAGTGGGGTAGTTTTGCACAGTATTTCCAATACTGTGCAAGACTGTCTTTAGATGATTTTGAAGATCTTGAATCTATCTCTTCAGATGATTTTGAAGATGATTTTGAAGATGTTGAATCAATCTCTTCAGATGATTTTGAAGATCTTGAATCTATCTTTTCAGATGATTTTGAAGATGATTTTGAAGATGTTGAATCTATCTCTTCAGATGATTTTGAAGATGATTTTGAAGATGATTTTGAAGATGTTGAATCTATCTCTTCAGATGATTTTGAAGATGATTTTGAAGATGTTGAATCTATCTCTTCAGGTGATTTTGAAGATGTTGAAGGGATCTCTTCAGTTGGTTTTGAATGTGAAGGTTTTATAAAATGAACGTTCACAGTCAGGACGCAGAACAGGATCCATCTCATCATGCTATCTCAAGACAAAACATACATATAAATGCATTAGAACCATAGAGGATTAGAACACAAAACAACTTACCCAACACAAGTACAGTAGCCTTTATCCTTCTCTTTAGTTTGTGAGCGAGCAAAGGCACCTGAGACAATATTCTAACTAAAAATATTCAATCGAGCATTCAAATATGAATGTTCAAGAATTCTGATTTACATATCTGTTTTTCCCTCTATCTGATTTACATAACCAGAAAAACAACTCACTGAGCGAATGGATGTAGGTAAACTAAAACGAACCAGAAACTTATTATAATTCGTGTTTATTTTGATGTATCTGAGAATGTGCTGAGTACTGATTACAACAACCTTTTAGTTTGCATTTATTAGTTGATTTAATGGGGAAAAATCCAATTGTATTTTAATTATAACATACACGGAAGCTGAAGTACTGATGGCACCGAGATGCAGTCACATAAATCGTCTTTGATCCTAGTCCTCATTTAATGTGTCCAATGTCGAGATCGGGCGGCACGTTGGCTGAGTAGATAGCACTCTCGCTTCTCAGCAAGAAGGTCCTGGGTTTGAATCCTGGTTGGGGCCTTTCTGGGTGGAGTTTGCATGTTCTCCCCATGCCTGCGTTGGTGTCCTCCGGGTGCTCTGGTTTCCCTGCTGTAGTTATCTGCAGTTCATCCAGAGTGATCATGGGCCTCTTGGCTGCATCTCTGATCAGTCTTCTCCTTGTTTGAGATGACAGTTTGGAGGGACGGCCGGGTCTTGGTAGATTTGCAGTGGTCTGATACTCCTTCCATTTCAATATAATTGCTTGCACAGTGCTCCTTGAGATGTTTAAAGCTTGGGAAATCTTTTTGTATCCAAATCCGGCTTTAAACTTCTCCACAGCAGTATCTCGGACCTGCCTGGTGTGTTTCTTTGTCTTCATGGTTCTCTCTGCGCTTTAAACAGAACCCTGAGACTATCAAAGAGCAGGTGCATTTATACGGAGACTTGATTACACACAGGTGCGTTCTATTTATCATCATCAGTCATTTAGGACAACATTGGATCATTCAAAGATCCTCACTGAACTTCTGGACTGAGTTTGCTGCACTGAAAGTAAAGGGGCCGAATAATATTGCACGCCCCACCTTTCAGTTTTTTATTTGTTAAAAAAGTTTAAATTATCCAATAAATTTCGTTCCACTTCACGATTGTGTCCCACTTGTTGTTGATTCATGACAAAAAATTAAAATTTTATATCTTTATGTTTGAAGCCTGAAATGTGGCAAAATGTTGAAAGGTTCAAGGGGGCCAAATACTTTCGCAAGGCACTGTAAATAAACATTACTTACTTACTTGGGGTTTGTATTTTCTTCTATACTCGAGGTATTGAGGTAACTCAAGTTGAACCATGCTGGAACCAGTTGATGGATGCTGTTGTCTATGAGCTCAGTCCCTATGATTTAGGTGAGCATTATTACTGTTATATATGAGTAATGTTATATACAGGCGCTGTATAAAACTGATTCATTATGATGTGGGAGGTAAAATATGAAATAATGTGTTTGGAGTTTGAGTGAAAGTATGTCTTTGGGTCTTAGGATCAATGACTACAACTTTGGATTTGTCCTGGTTAAGTTGGAGAAAGACTTTTTGCCATCCAGGAATTTCGGTCTCATCATTTAAAACCTTTGAGAGACCAGTTTCTGTGTTGTGGTTCACCCTAAAACCAGACTGTTTTCCGATATGTTTCTGGAGAATGGAACGTTGGTAGTTTTTCAAATCTCTCAAATCTAAAGTGCTTTTAACAGAAAAAGAATACTAGTTTTTAAAACCTACAATCTTGTTTTACCTCAGAGGGACCTACCACTCATTTGGAGGCATATATATTTATGAGCACCTGGGCTGACAACCCTTTTATACACCCCACTCCCATCTCTGTGTGGAGTGAGAGGACAAATGCCCACAATTGTAAACCGCTTTGTGACTCTGGTCTGTGAAAGGCGGTACAGACGGATCCTTCATGGTGAGTTTGGATACCTGCTCCTCTCAGGTCCATAAAATCACATGTGGTGTGCCCCAGGGTTCCATTTTAGGTCCAGTCCTTTTTAACCTGTACATGCTCCCTCTTGGCGGTGTCATCAGGAGACATGGAATTAACTTCCACAGTTATGCAGATGACACACAGCTGTACATCTCCATGTCTCCTGATGACACACAGCTGTACATCTCCATGTCTCCTGATGATACACAGCTGTACATCTCCATGTCTCCTGATGACACACAGCTGTACATCTCCATGTCTCCTGATGATACACAGCTGTACATCTCCATGTCTCTGATGATACACAGCTGTACATCTCCAGGTCTCCTGATGACACCAATGGATGCTCTTTTTAACTGCATTTTAGACCTGAAATCCTGGATGGCAGAAAACTTTCTCCAGCTTAACCAGGACAAAACTGAGGTTTTAGTCATCGGTCCTGAGGCCCAGAGAGAGAAACTTTTATCAAAACTCCAATCACACTCTTTTAATCCATCACCACAAGTGAGAAACCTGGGCGTAATCTTTGACTCTGAGCTGACTTTTATTCCTCACATCAAGAACATCACAAAAATAGGTTTTTATCATTTAAAGAACATCGCCAGAGTCCGCCCCATTCTCTCTCGGGGCAACACGGAGACGCTGATGCTTTTATCACCAGTCGCATTGACTACTGTAATGCCCTGCTCTCTGGTCTTCCCAAAAAGAACATTTCAGGTTTACAATTACTCCAAAACTCGGCCGCACGTGTCCTGACTAAGACCAGGGGGCGGGACCACATTACACCGGTTTTAAAATCGCTGCATTGGCTCCCCGTGTGTTTCAGGATCGATTTTAAGGTTCTTTTAATGGTTTTTAAATGTCTTAATGGTCTTGGGCCTTCTTATCTTTCAGAACTGCTTTTATCCTATGAACTTCCCGGCCCCTGCGCTCCTCCGGCAGCAGACTCCTAACCATCCCCAAAGTCAGGACACACACTCACGGTGAGGCATCTTTCCAGCACTACGGCCCCGTCTCTGGAACAGTCTGAGGAGGAGCTCAGGGCCGCAGAGAACGTTTTATTATAAGAATATTTTTAAAAGTAGGCTCAAGACACACCTTTTTATATTAGCTTTTGATTAGTATTTATTATTCCATTCTATTTATCTTTTATTATGTATTATTTATTATATTGCTATTGCTATTATTCATGTATTGTGTGTTAGTTCCTTTTAGTCTCACATTTTAGTGTTTTGCTTATTTTTATTGTTATTGTATTGTTTTTAGTGTACCCAGTGTTTCCTCCGGAGGAGCCCTCTGCACTGGGAGCGGTGGTTGGTGTGGCTGCGGGGGTCTGGCTCTTGGGCCTGGTGGGGGTCTGGGGCCTCGGTTTCGTGTCTCCTCTGGGTCCTGTGTCGTCCCCTGTGGCTACGGGCGGCTCTCTGCTCCTGGTGCAGACGGCTCCTTGGATGACGATTTTTCAGCTGGTTGCATCTGAACCCTGCCAAGTCTCTCATCATGGTTTTACTGTTTTACTGGTGTGTGTGTGTGTTTGTCTGTGTGGGAGGGAGGGAGGGAGGGAGTAAGGGAGTAACCGGCACGTGAAGCCGGGGCCGGGACGTGAAGCCGGGGCGTGGAGCCGGGGCCGGGACGTGGAGCCGGGGCCGGGACGTGGAGCCGAAGAGCTGGAGCAGGAACTGGAGCCAGGACTGGAGCCAAACGGGTACAGAAGGCCCCCTGGATGGAGAACAATATCCAGCGGAGCCAGGTCAGGAACGGAAGCCTGCAACCACCCAGGACGGAGCTAAGTGTCCTGCAGTGGTCCAGGACACAGACAGACAGGGAATGCGTCCAGCTGCTGCAGACCAGTCGGGGACAAAGATGGGCCAGAGATGACAAAAAATAAAAAACAAAAATAAAGCAGTCTGCTTGGGCCTTGAGTGGTTCCGTCATTCTGTCACGTGGGTGTAATTTAATGAGACCCAAAATGCAAAACTGCAAAAAGTAATGGATTTAATAAAAAGATGAAACAAATCCAAAAACACCAGGAACGAGGACCAAACTAAAACAGACAAGGAATGACAATGACGAAACAGGGAGTGAAGGAACACACAGGGCTAAATACAAGACTAACGAGACACAGGTGAGACAGATGAGGGCAGGGCAGGTAATCAGACAACAGGAAGTACAACCAAAGAAGACACAGGAATAACACATTTCAAAATAAAACAGGAAATAAACTTAAACCATGACATATTTGACTTTATTTATACCCTCCAAGCTCAGGTCCTAGAAGCGTCTGGGTTCTGGATGGTGTCAAGGAAGTTTCTACCCAATGAAGGAGAAAACTCAAAAGGTCTTTGTCTTATCAAAAGCGTAAGTTTATTATACACACGTGCGGAGAGTTAATACACACAAAGGCAGCATGTACCAGCTCTGAGCGCAGAGCCCCAAGTTTCCTGTATACAAGACACACACGAAAGACAGTCACGCCCACAACAGATGGGAGGGGGCCACCGGTGAGGAGGCGCACAGGGAGCGTTGGCGCCATCTGGGATGGAGGTGCGAACAGACAGACAATGGTAGAAATGCAGGTCATACAGATGCAAGACGCGAAAGACACAAGGGTGTGACAGACAGCAGGATGTAGAAAATGCACACATACAGACCGATAGATATACAAGAGGCGAAAGGGGGGCGAGAGTGAGACAGTGATTTGCGCCATTGTCTGTAGGTGTCGGGGGGCCCGGCTCCTTCCTGGAGCAGGGACATATGAATAGAAACAGGCAGGGTTGCTCCTTCCTGGAGCAGGGACATATGAATAGAAACAGGCAGGGTTGCTCCTTCCTGGAGCAGGGACATATGAATAGAAACAGGCAGGGTTGCATGAATACTAGTCGCTTGCCATCACACTCCTTTCCCGTGATAATGTAAAAACCCCAGTTTTACAGAGATCACATTCAGGTGGGTGAGTATTGACCTTGGCCCCTGAGTAAAAGAAGAGTTGTTGATGGGCAGGTTACGCCGCCGTCACCCAAGCCTCTTGTATTACGGGGGTGTGGTCAAAGCTCTTCGCTGTGATACCCTCCCCCTAAATTGTGGGCGGAACAAGTGGAAAAATAAAAACAAAGTAAACAAGAAAGAAAAACGTTAGACAAAGTCGTCGTCCGAATCGCTGATATAATCAGGATCGGAGTTCAGTGGGACCGCGGCCAGGTCCGCCTCAGGGTCTCTGTGTTGAATGGACACAAAGTGAGTGGATATCATTTTACCAACGGCCCGAAACACCATGGGTAATACACATGAAAATAAAATCATAACAGTCAATAGGGCTAAACCAAGATTAATGAGCACACTTCGCCAGGAGGACAGGAGCCAGTCCAGACCGTGAGGAGTGTCCGTGACATTGTCCGCCTGTATGGCGTCCCGGAGTCTAGTCAGATTGGCTATGCCCTGTTGGATAAGACCTCCGTCCTCATCGTTGGCCGGAATATATGTACAGCAGGACGACCCGATGATCGTGCATACGCCTCCCACAGACGCGGTCAGGTGGTCCAGGACCAGCCGGTCCTGAAGAACAACGGCACGTAGGTCGTGAAGTTCAACTCTCTGTGATTCAAGTATGGACACTGTGGTATTGACAAAACCTGAGAACCTATAGCTCAGGGTCTCCGTCCTTAGCATTAGTTTACCTACACCCAGGCTGGGAAATAATGCTAACATTATTTTCTGGCCTGTGGTCCATAATTTGTGGTCATCGGGTACATTAGTGCCCCACAGGGGGTCGTGTGGTGTGTAGAGTTCTCTCTTGTCTCGGTGTTGGGCCTTAGGGAGTGTGGAGATGATGTATGAATGGTCGGCAGGAAGGGCGGCCGCACAGCGTCCCTCCCATTTTGCGGGCAGACAGTCATACATGCGATATCCGCACAGATACATGTGAGACTCTACGGGCCGCGTTCCTAAAATGTCTGGTACCGTATAGTACGGGACACACACGCTTCCCGGGGCTGCCTGGGAATCGTTAAGTTTGCTGCTGTTGGCCATGTATGTGCAGGGGCTATATACAATAGAGCAGAACTCAAGTGGGATATTTCCCACATGAATGGGCTCTTTCGGGAGAGTAAGGCTGGTGTTGGCCCGAGACCAGGAGTGGGTGTAGCATATAAATTTGGAGCCAGGTTTGATGTGCACTGGGCCGAAGATTGGCTCTTCCCCCGGATGGCTGCCGGATTTGAGACGCAGCTCTCCCTGGGCAAGGGGCTTGAGTTTTGGGGGCACCGCAAAAAACATTGCTGGAGCCCTGGGATCGGACATTGAAACCAGGGTGTGAGGGATGATTTTGGAAATGTTTGGCACCGGTAAGGGGATTATGTGGGGGTTTGCGGCGGCTATAGGAAGGTGGGTGCATACGTAGCAATTGGATCTATTGTGGCTATCTGCGACGTATTTTGCATACTGATACCAAAGGTTGAGTGAATAAACTGTAGAATGTTTGTAGGATTTACTCAAGGCCTCCAACCAAGCAGTGTCGTCGGAAGCAAGGCTGCGTGTAATGCGTGTCATGGCTTGAATCACAGGGTTTTGAGTTTCAGAGGAAGACAATATTAACATAATAAACACAGTCAGCACGGAAAGTAGTGTCAGTGTGGCCAGCATAACAGTCCAAGGGCCCATGCCGGTCTTAGCCGGGCTACATTCGGTAGTCTTTTCCGCGGGAATACTCACGAACAGTGCCGTCTTGCAGTCAGTGGCACCGCTCCCTATGAGCGTGTGTGGAGCGTTAGTGGTCATGGCGATGTTTGGTCTTGGAGTGGCAAGACTCTATTTGCGTTGAAGCCTTGGCCTCAGCACTCGGTTGGGCAGAGTGCTCGGGGTTTGGGGTGTGGCCTTGGGGTCCGGGGGCTGGGGAGTTGGGCAAAGGGGGGTTGCCTCGGCAACGCTGGGATTCTCTGGGTGTTGTTGTTGGCCTGCTTCACCGATGGTGGTCGCACGCCGGCCGACCTCTTCAGCGTAGGGAGCCGCGGATGGGCCTGGTCCGTCCGCGCCCTCGGTGTCCTCGTCTATGGCCCTCAGTGGCAGCACCGCACGACAGTGGTTGGCGTGGATCCAAGTTGTCCTCTCCGCGACCTTAACGGCAGTGTCCGTCACCAGGAGGACGAGGAATGGACCGAGCCAGCGCTTGGACCGCCAATGCTTTCGTCTCGTTTCCTTCACCAGGACCCAGTCGCCTGGCTTGATCCTGTGCAGAGCCGCCTGCGCAGCCTGTGGCAGGGCGCTCCTGACCTGGGCAGAAATAGAGGACAAAAGTGCATTAATTTCCTTACAGTAGGACAGCATGTCGTCATCACACAAAGAGGTGCTTGGCAGATCTCTGGTCGGGGGTCCCGCGCCCAAATTGGGTGGTCTGGCGAAGAGGATTTCGAATGGGCTTAGGTTTGACCTTGACCTGACTCTCATCCGCATGTACATGAGGGCTAGCGGCAGAGCTTTGATCCAAGACAGGTCTGTCTGTTCGCAGATTTTAGCAAGTTTGTTTTTCAGAGTGCCATTCTCTCGCTCGCACGCGCCTCCGCTCCAGGGGGCGTAACTGCAATGTTTACGTATATCAATGCCCAGAAATTCACCTACTTCCTCAATGACTTTTGCTACAAAGTGACTGCCATTGTCACTAGAGATTTTTTCCGGGACACCCCATCGTGGTACAATTTCTGTGAGCAGAGCTTTCACCACCGCATTGCTCGTGGCGTGTTTACATGCAAATACTTCAGTCCATTTGGACCAGAGATCGACAAGAACCAGACAGTATTTCTTACCTTGGCATGGTGTGAGTTCAACAAAGTCCATTTGGACATGTTGAAATGGGCGCAGGGGCGGGGGATGAGCAGCCTGTTGGATAATTTGAGACTTACCTGGGTTGTGCGCGAGGCAGATAGCGCATGTTTGGCAGAATCTTTGTGCAAATGCCGTAAACCCCTTTGTATACCAATTTTGTGTGATTAAGTCACACATTCCTCCTTTCGAGGCATGGTCTCGGCCATGTGCTAAAATTGCAAAATGTCTGAAGAAATGCCGTGGTAAGCACGGTTTGCTGTCTGGTCCCAGCCACACACCATGCCGTCGTTGCGCCCCATTTCCTTCCCACAGCACTGTCTCTGCTGGAGTTGCCAGCGCCTGCATTGCTGACAGAGAGGAGAAAATATCAACGTCTTGAGTGAGGTAGTGTGTGTGTGTGAGTAGAGGTGCGTATGCTGCTGCCTTCGCTGCTTTGTCCGCGCGCCGATTCCCTGCAGAGATGGGATCAGTGGCATTAGTGTGGGCCTGGCATTTGCATACAGCGATCTCTAAGGGCAACATTACAGCTTTCAGCAGACGTTCAACCTGTGTGGAATTAAGAATTGGTTTACCATCAGATTTCATGAAATTGCGGTGTTTCCACAGTGCCCCCCAGTCGTGCACCACAGAGAAACCATAGCGCGTATCACAGAATATGTTAGCAGTTTTGCCCTCTGCCAGCTCACAAGCCCTGGTGAGGGCAACCAGCTCAGCGGTTTGTGCTGAATGGTGGTGGGGCAAACTACCAGAGTCTATAGTATCAAAATCAGAGCACACAGCATAGCCGACTCGGTTCTTCCCAGTGTGGTCACGTGATGCTGATCCATCTGTATAAAAAATCAAGTCAGGATTAGTCAGAGGCACCTCTTTCAGGTCTGGCCTGGGAGTGCATATCTGTTCTATTG